GCGACAGACACCACATTTGCTTTTGCTACTACAATATGACATACTAATGGCTTGTCACTTTTCAGGCTGACTTATTTCTTCCTGATAACATTTAAATGGCATTAGTAGATACTAGCGTCACAAATCTGACGTGTACGCTTAATCACACCTCTTCACTTTCCAAATAATGTTTTCATATTAGAGCACTATTAAGCTTTTATTAAAATGACAGCAACATCCCTATGAATCAGATAAATGCACTTGTTTTTATAACATTTTGATTAGATTAGAGTTAGTATGGCTTCTTATTTACTTGTGATGATGGAAAAAAAATAAAAAGAAAAAACCTTTAAACCTCTCCCAGAAAGTTCCTCACTTTAGGTTCATATTTTATGCTATTACAGTAGCACTTATTAAAATGAAACATTAACATTGCATTGAGGATCTAAATACAGTAAGCACAGCAACTAAAAAGGAAGAACAAGCTGTCTTCTATTGTTAAAGATCATTCCAAAATTGATTGGATCTGAAACAGTATGCTTAGGGACCTCATACTGACACAGAATCAGCTAGCAGTGATAGGACTATGATTTTTCACCCTCTTCCATTTTTGCTTTTAGCAATAGCTAAGAAAAGAGAACCAGGATTTTCTGAGGTTTCATGAGGCACATGAAAATAGGTAATGGCTTGTATGGCGGGCTTCCTCACTGAGAAGAAAAGGCCTCATTATGAAATAACAAGCAAGAAGACAGACAAACTGTCTTGAAAGCTGCTGCTTTTGGAAGAGCAAATCTCCCATAAAGGCAGTGTTGAACTATGTGACTGTGACTAATATCATGCCACATAAAAGTTTTGGAAGTAGAGAGAACTGAATCAAGAGAAAGGATACAAAGATTATACTAGAAACAATGTGAACTAAAGACATCTCCCAGAGCTAGTGAATTTGTAGCATACACAGCCCTGACCTCTGTACTTAATTTTTAGAAAAATTCTGAAAACTATCCCTTCTGGACTGACATGAAGCAAGAGTTTGTCACTGAGAAAGAGAATAAAGTAAATTAGTATCATCAAAAATCTCATGAAACGTGAGACTACCAGATAGCATGGCACAAAGTATAAAACCACCACAACCACCTTAACTTTCTTTGAGTTATATGCATAGGTTGCTCCTAAAGTAATGTCTCCTATTTCTTTTCATGGAAAACACAACAGATACAAATAGCACAGATCTGTTTGATAGAGCAAATGCTCAGCTACAAAACACAACTCCTCAACAGAGTCACCACCATTAGCTGTGCATTCTTGCCAGTGACAAACAAGAGACCGCATGCCACGCTCATAAAAATCTGAATCGCGGTCTAGAACACGGCTTGTCTTTCTTATCCCCGTCACCACTGCTGAAATGCACCACCAATCACCTCATTGTGCTCACATCCACTGCTTAGTCTCCATAAATATTCAGCAAGCATTGATGAATGTCAATGAGTGTCATTTTTTTTTGGGTGGGGAAATTCCATGACAGACATCTGTTTCATACCTGTTTCCATGTCAGGCACTATTTTGTCAGGCTGCCCCTCTGCTGCCATTTGTCATACAACAACATGTAATGGGACACTGGGGAGAAGGTTCAACTTCTACTGCCATAAAGCCAACAACTGCCTCTAATGTCATGGGCCAACATAATAAAATAATAAAACAGAACACATTTCTTTCAGAGCAACCCTCATATTTCAAGAACTAGCTTACAGGAGGTGGATCAAAGAGTAACTATTCTTTGGGAAGTCCTACTAAAAAAAAAAAAAGTATATGTATGCAAAAGTACAGGGTATTTAGTCTATGCTTATTTTTCCCATAAATTCAGCAAACAAAAAGTTACATTCCATTATGTGTGCACAACACTGAAGAGCCATTCAGTGCATCTTCACAGCCTATTCTGGGACACTGATCCTATATTTGGTTATGCTGATTTTACACTAAGAGGAAAAGAAAGTTACTGTCCAGTTACATCTGTGTAAGCAAATGCACTGTTGTGTCCCTCTAAAGTCAAACTCTGTCAGCATGCAGAAACAGACAAGATCAGCATAGGAAACTACATGAGTGAAGGGAGGGAATGAAATGAGCACTAAAATAAATTCAGAGAAAGTAAAAACTGTTCCTTTTTTTTGGACACAGTGTCAGTCTCCCATTCCAGAACTGTGAGATATGACAGTCATGAAAAACAAAGCCAGGATAAGAAGAAATTAAATTATAAAAAACAGTATCTGACATCAAATACATGATATGCCAAGATATGCAAACAAAAATCTCTTACTCTTTCCAATGAAAATTAAGAGCAAATATATATTGAAAACTAAATGCTTACCTGACAGAATATATTGGATTCTTCCCAAATAGCATGAGCTTCAGTGTCTGCTGTGTTCCTGCTAGTAAGCTAGCAAATGCTGTGAGATCTCGAAAGTGCAGCTTTGTTTTAAAACCAGGAATCAGATCCTTACATTCAGTTAGCAATGGTGACTGCTTGGCCTGAACTTCTTCAACTAATTGGTAATCCTATTCATCAAGTTAATTTAAAACACTTCTACCTATTTCAACAGACCTAGGCAAACCTATCTGCATGATGATAATTCCCTCTGCACAAGTAAATGTGCCACACACAAGTCAGTGTCCCTACAAGAATGGCTACAGTGTTATATTCTTGCCTAACCATATTTTATTCATGCAAGGATTTACTATTTTCCATCAATCAAGTCCCAGAAGGTTTCCTTCCAGAAAGCAGACCAGATGACCTGAGTCACCACAACACACAGCAAGGAAACAAGGTGTTGGAGGGAATAGGAGAGGGGCTGTTCATTTTAAGTGAGGCGTCATAAAAAATAAATTAGGAAAATCCAAAGTGTTTTTAAATAAATAAATAATCATCAACCTTCAGAGGAAGACTGAAATGCAGCAGCCTCAAGTATTAAAAATGCAAGGAAGCAAAATGATTCAAGTGCTTTGATGCTTATAGGGAAACTAACAAAAATACTGGATTCAGACTGTTTTCCCACTGATCTGATAGTAGGATTCTCTCTCTTTTTTTTTTAATATATATTTTCATTCCAATTACTGCTATGTTTTGCTTTGCATGAAAACCATACCTTTGCCCCTTGTTACTAAAGCTATTTTCCTGCCTGAAAACAGTCTTCTATAGACGAAACTTTAACAGCAAACTATCATTAAAAGTAGAAGATGATGGCAAAAGCATCAGATTATACCAGAGCAACTGATATGGATGCTCAAATGATACAGAGAAACAAGAAGTATGGCAAAAGTTTCTCAATAGATGTATGGGAAGCTAAGCATCAAGAGCACATAAAAAATATTTTATTTTTTATGCAAATACCCTCTGTCATTGCTGGGTGAAATCTGACAATCTCAGTAGAGATTTAATATGCTTTCTCCTATTGACAACTCCATCTTGAAACACAGTGTTTGAATTTAGAAGTGCAAAAGGAAATCAACAAGAGCAGACAAGCTTTGAGTCATACTGGACTATTCCTACTGCAATAGGACAAAAGGATGCAGTTTTCAAAGCCATGAACACATGCTCATGTTCTTGTAGTACATCAGGGCTTACAATCAAAATAATCACAAATCAGTCAACGCTTTATCACCAGTCTCTGACTTCAGGCTCCACCTCCCAAGACCAAGAAACTAATAGCTTCCACTTTCCTGAAAAGTAGGATCTGAATCAGCTGGAAGTGGCCAGGAGGGAAAACTGATCTCTAATCCACAACTATAATGTTTCAGGTTTGGAAAGCAAAATGGAATAGGGGGGAAAAAAATAAAAAATAAAAAAAATTGCTGCCTGTTAACAATACACAATGTTACAATATATGTTAAGAAACTGCTCTGCAAAAGCACTGTTCTCTCAGTGCCGCTACAACTGTCCTTGTAGTGTAGTACTCCACTTCTACTTGAAAGCTCTGCCTTTAGAGCTGCAACACACTTCTTTCCATTTTTCTAGAAGCTTGGACAGGTAAACAAAAAGACCACAGTCTCTGAAAAAAAAACCACATCAACTCATCAGATCACCTAGGCTGGAAGAGACTTTCAAGACCAACAATCAATCTGACCTGTTGCATCCCAACACACACGTCCCTTAGTGCCATGTCCACATGTCTCTTAAAAACCTCGAGGGACGGGACTCCACACACTCTTCTGGGCAGCCCATTCCAATGCGTGACCACCCTCTCCATGAAGAAATTCTTCCTAATGTCAAATCTCAACTTTGCTTGGTATGACACCCATTCCCTTGTGTTCTACCACTTATCACCTGAGAGAAGAGACCCATCTTACTTCAGCTGCTTTCAGGTAGTTGTAGATGAGGGCTCCCCTCAGCTTCTTGCTCTCCAAAATAAACAACTCCTATTCCCTCAGCTACTTTTCATAAATCTAGTTTTCTAGGCTCTTCACCAGTGCTCTTTGCACTTCTCTGCAAGCTCTATTCTGTGAGAAAAACATGCTAGTTCAAGGCCTACAACAACACCAAACAATTATTTGAAGCAAACACTGTTTGTACAATCACAGTACAAAACTGGATATGGTCTTTTAATATTATGTTTTTATGTTTGTTTTTAAATACGCATGACATTTTGTAGTGGAGAAGTGCATACAGTACCTGTTGTTACGCTTATGTGACTCTTTAAAAAGTTTTCATAAAGACAACAGGTTACCAGTGAAAAATAACATCAGCTCATCAGGTTCTTCAGGTGTTCTTCTGCAAAGCTATGAAATAAATAACAGTTCACCTCCTCCTTGGAGAGACCTAACACAAAATTTTCATGTATAATCACCGTAAAGTCTTCCCTCCTCCCCACAGCTTCATATTCTACCCAACCCCTCAATTTCAGAAGAAATTTTTTAAAAAAGAAGCAAGAAAAAGAAAAGAAAAGAAAAACAGCTTATAAAACCACAAAGAAAATAAAGTTATTTTAATACATATATAAAGAGAACAAAATGAAACTTGAGGGAAAACTTACTGGCGTTACAGTTTATCCTGATACAGTCTAGATGGGGAAAAATAAATGAAAGATGAAATTGCATCCTTCAAGGTAACAGCTGCAGACATCCAAAAACAATCAAGTCCACCCTTCCGGGGACAGACACACGCAAAGAGATGTGGCCATTTTATATTTATATACGGTCTGTACAAGTTCAGAAGTGGATGTATATGTACAGTATATTCTACATAAATATTTGTTACATAAATATATATATATACGTAAACATATATATACACACATATGTATAAAGAGATATACCAATATACATATATATCCACACTTAACATTTTATTTTTATAGAAGACTATGCATCTAAGAGTATCTTCTACTCCAGACCATGAAAACTGATGTGAATTACAAGAAAAAAAATTGACAATTAAGCACAAAAAAATCTCTCTTAAAATGCAAATCATACTCCAGTGTAATTTCTCTTTTTAAAAACCTTTAGCAATTTCTCTAAGAAGCTTGAAGTTTAAAATCAACCTTTACACTTGGATTCTTTTGAATTAGTTTGTATTGTTATTGCATAAATACACCATCTGTCCAACACAGAATACCTGTAGAATCAGTCTATGAGATTTGTTGGTGCAATATTTAACCCTTTCCGGCTCTCCCAAAGACAGACCCTCTACTCATGTCCCCTCGTGCCAGCCCAGAACACTTTTTCGTATGTGCACAGGCACATTTAACACTGTCCATTCAGGTGAGGAAAGGGTTCATATACTGCCCAGTTGTGTCCTGTCATAAAATGGCCACTTGCAAACAGCTAACCGCACGAACGCCCAGCCCAGATTTCAGCTAGTTCTGGAGATTGGGAATACTATTTTTTTTATTTTTACTTTTATTTTTATTTTTTTTCCTACTTGGTGGGGGACGTGAGGAATTCTTTCAAAGGTTCCCAGCCCTGCCAGTTCCACAAAGCCCAACCTCACCTTGCTGCCTGAATGCTAAGATTGAAAGGAATGTTCATAACGTTCAGGGAGAAGATGAAATGGGCAGTGGAGTGGCAGATCTGTGAATCTTTGCTCGCCCTGTTTCATTCAGAGATTATGGACAAGGGAGGAAGAAGGGGTATATGGAAATTAAAATAGAGTTATGGTTCTAGAGCCTAATAAATAGTAACTGAAAAACTGCACAAGAAAAATGACTGGAGGTGGGGGAACCTGAGCTAGAGGGTTTCTGAGCATTGCTTCTTTAATTTTACACATTAATGCTCAGCATATCTCAGGATATGACCCATAATATCCTACATTTATAAATGCCTACTTACAGCCTTGTGAACAACTTCTACTGTGGTGTCCAATGTGGTTGAAAGCTACTGTATCGGTGCTATTGCATATTTTGAGTGATGCTGACCTTCTCTTGGGAAATCAGGCCAGAAATAACAGCACCATGCTACTAGAAACCCAGGTTACTGAGGTTTTACCAGCAAAGATGGTTGTATGTATTACAGAGATATGGCCCAGAGTGATTATACAGAGTGGCAGAGAAATACAAAGCAGTTTGCTGCTTAACTGGGCCAATTCTGTGTTTACTCAGACAATTATTATAAGAATAGGAAAATTATTTCAGCAGCTTATGCAAGCTTATTTCAGCTTCATGCAATCTCAGAAGATGAGAAAGAGTATCTATAAATAAAGAGTCATAACAAGTTAGGGGTATACCAATCAGGAACAGCATAGCCATAAAGCATCTGTTTTCAACCAGAACTTCCCTTGAGAAAATCTGGGTTTGGTTTTGTGCGATTAGGTTTGTCATGTGTCGTCAACCGCAACAGAAAAGTGGGAGCAAACAGCCCTGGAGCAATTGGTACAATCACCATACAGAGGTGGCTATATCCCATATAGCAGCTAGATGGGTTAATGGGAGCTCTTACATATATGCTGGGAAATCAGCTACCCTTGCCTCTACAACATGAAAGAGAGTGAGTGAGAGAGACTTCAGAACCTCACTGCAAGTGAATGCGTCATGGCAGATACAGCTAGAACGGGGCAATTATTTATGGGCTGAACAGTTAAGTGTGCCGTAAAGGGAAACATGGCTGGTCCTCAGCAACATTCATTGAATTCAGAAACTAAAACTTGGTTCTGATCTCTGCAGAGAAGTTTTTTGTTTTTTTTTTTTTTTTTAAGCAATACTGAAACAACTACATGCCCTAGAACTGCCTCCTAAGTCACTGTCTGCTCTGAGTGAAGGGATTGAAGGGACTGATGTCTTACACTGATTTTCAGTGTAGCCCTTATCCTGACTGGTAGATTTCAATTTCAAAGGATAATGAGACCAGGCCACTGAGGGAGTGGCCCTGACAACTATTATGGTACTATCTGATCACCAGACTCAAAATAAAGTGCCAGGAAAAAACACCTGAGCTTGCTCCAGAAGAATCAATTCCTGAACCAGCCTTGGTCCAGCTAGGTCAGCAGGATCTTGCTTGGCAGCTAAGCTCCTACATCTGCCTGTGGTACTACACCAGCACTGCCACACTCTCCTGCACCTGGGCTAACACTGACGCACTCTGCCACAAAGACTCTCAGTCCACCACACTGCTTATCTCTACAAAGCACTTTTTTACACCAAGTAGATGTACTCTAAGATCCAATGCCTTTTCCACTTTACTAATGGAAGTTAGTAATATTGCTGTATTCCAATACCATGGCAATTGCCAGAAGAGAAGAAACTAGAATATCTAGGGAGCCATCTGGTTAACAAGCCTTCAAGAATTGAAAGTGCTTTGTAGAGAAAGACATTATCTATTGCTGTCAGGCAACCTATGGAAGCTGCAGTTGCCCAGAAGTTCTGGATGAAAATGAACTAAAATGAATCTCAGGTCTGTCACTGAAAAGAGAGGCATTAAAAGCCAAACGTGCTACACTGAAAGAACAAGCACAATATTTTCTATTTCCTTAATCCTGATCCTTGCCCAAAGCAACAACAAAGTTACAATCATTAATACATGAAACTGCTTTTTCCTTCTTACATCAGTTTTTAGAAATGAAGGAAATACTTGGTTTCCTCTAAACCAGTACAACACTTCAAAAGCCAAAGCTAAGGGTGCTTTCCCTGACAGTAAGGGGCAGGGTTCACACTCAGCAGCTGCAGAATTGAGGAACAATTAAGAGGACTGCTCGAGAGTCCTCCAGCAGTGCAGTAAGACTTTTGATAATTATCATCTATGGCTCTCAGTATTGTTATCAGCTTCTGCTGATGTGATTTACTTTGTTGAGGTATGGTTGTATTCCTGACTTAAAAAAAAAACGTTTCCTTTTCTTTGGACTTCAAAGATGAGTGTGCCTAAACAGCTGCAAATCCAGTAAGCAGCCAGTCCTACCACTGAATGAGATGTTTAGAGGACAATCATAAAGTAACTTCATTTTTGTAAGGACATGGGGAATAGGATGACCTGAAAAGATCTTATACAGTTACTTTCTTCCATTGTTATTCCTAGTGTAAATCAGATGCTGCTTTCAAGGTTAGGTTTTCTAGAGCACATCACAAGGAAACTGGGAAAAAGACTCTCTCCTTGCAAAAAGGTTAAACAGCTTCACTCCAGCTAACTAATGTTAAAGATTCACTGTTTGAATAGCATTAGTAGCAGAACTGATGAAGTCTCCAGTAATTGCATCTGTGTTTCTTACCACTGTTCTGTATCTTTGTGCTACAGAATGCTGATATTTACATTATGTGCAATTTTGAGGCCCCAGCCTGTCTTTTTCCTTGAATCCATCATCTTTGCTGTGGGAGGATAAAATGTTTACTCCTTTTGAAGAGCATCCACATGTGGTTATGGAAGAGCACTTCAAAGTAAGAGTAGAACAAGATAATCAGGGCCTGACAATTTCTGCTTACTCTAGGTTATCCCCTGTGGGGAACTCAGATGAGGCCCTGTGCACTCTTCCACCATGCTACAATGCAGCTCTTTGTCTCTCTTACTTCTCAGATTGTGCACCCACCTGTTAGTATTAGTGGGAAAATGACAGATATTTTTTTCCCATCTATTACAATAAAAAACATATATCAAAAGTCACCGTATGGGTTGATCATTAAAAAAAAAGCATGTCTAGGTACACATTTGCACATCTGCATGCACGACCTGCACAAAAGTTTGGTGTATTTGGTGTAAAAGTTCAAGCACGTTTAAAAAAGAAAAACAGAAAACATGTATGCTCTGTCTTTATATATGAATTATAAAAAATCTGTACATCTTGGAAAGATAAAGATGTCTTTGAAAACCCTAAGGAGAAAAGGTAGGAGACAGGCATAGCCACATTTATTTACAGGAGAACTCAGATTAACCGGTTGTAGGCAGAATTTATTCTAGTCACTAGTGCCCTGAAGCTGAGCCTAGCAAGAAGAAACGAAACTGAAATATTCTTTAACAAAAGTCAGTGAAACTATAATCTTCCCATTCACCAATGGGAGGAAAACAAAGTGAAGGTGCATATCTCTATTGGACCAGCCATTTCTTTCCCTTTATGCAAATCCCAGCATCAGAAATGATTCCCAAGCATGTTCCAAGCCATTATTTGCTTCATCTCTCTCTCTCTCTCTCACTCCTTTCACTGTACGCTCATTTCCTCAGAATCCTTATCAACAGAAGTGAGGTCCGCATCATATTTGGACTTCTATTCTTCACACAACAAACTACTGTGAAACTTGCTGTCAACACGCAGACTGGACTGCCTCAGGGACTGACAGGGGAAAGGTCTGAAACAACTTCCTCACTCCTCCTTCATAGAGAATTATTCACCACTGCTCTTATCCCTCCTATCTTCTACAGCAAGCCCCCATGCCCACCCATGCCTGCTGTACAATGCATCCCCCTGGCTGAAGCCAGGACAACACTGTGTGTTGAGGAGGTGGTGGGATATGCCAGCCACTGCAGGCTGCTCTGTACACTCTGTTCTCAGGGCTGTTTGCTGTGCGGGCCGCAGGCTTCAGGCCTTTGAAGGGTTGAATACCATCTTTTGATTTACTATGGCTGATGGGGTATGGGAAAGCTTTACAACTGAAATACAGAGGAGTTAAAAAAATAATAATTTAAAAAAAAAAAAAGAAAGAAAATAAAAAACAACACAGGAAAGACCTATATAACCACACAAATGATAACAAGTAATCAAATGGAATAGATCGAAGAAGAAAGAGACAATTCTTAGTAATAGTTTTAAATGACTTATAAGAAAAGCACAATTATATAACTCACCACTCAAAACAGTCTCTGTTTACACACGCATGTCACTGGTTGTCTTTGGCTCAGGAGGATGGTGACATGCAGCTAGTCAGCACCAAGCATGATCAGCTTCAGAGGGTGTTCCTAACACTTCTCACCAGTAAGAGGATTTTGGCAGGAGCAAATGATGAAAACTTGGTTCTTATTTGTAACATTTTGGCTATAATCAGTCTCCTTAAAGAGTCAGGTGTGACTTCCAATAAACAACAGAATTTAAGTGGCTCTGTTAAGGTCACTCCTCCTTAAACTCTCTTTCTCCAACAGCAAGGTAACATTGCTGTTTCGAAGGCAGAAAGTCCCAACTAAAGGAAAACACCTTAGATTTGCAGCACTTCTTTGCATAATGTCTCAGCACTCTTACAGTAAGTTGAAACAGTGAGAGATCAGTGTCAGTGCTGTTTCTGTTTGAGAAACTACTATCATAGTTGAAACTGACCTATTTCTTCTGCCCGCTACTTGCTGAGTACACATCTGTTCCTAAGCTATCTGGACACTCAGTGGCGATTTAAACTTTTCCAATTGAGCTAAGAAGAGCAAGCATATGTATTCCAAACAAAACCATACCACATAGGTTTTCTTTCATTTGTTTGCTTTTGCCTTTTTCATTTTATTTTCTTTTCATAACATGAGTTTCCATAACCCTTTGGACAGATACTATTATTAATAAATATGAACTGGCTTAAATGCATCTTCTCTTCTTTATTCTCCTAACCCAAAAGCTACAGTCTTATATGAGATTAAAAGCAAAAAAAAAAAAACAAACCAAAACAAAACAAAAAAAAAAAAACTCCAAAAAACTACATGTAAGTTTTTAAAACAAGCTGGCCACTTGCTGGACAACATACTTCCCAGGTAAGGATAAGAAACCTTAAAATCATCACTCAAGCTCAACTGGGCACAGAAAGTCCTTGATAAATTTGTAATATCTACCTAGGATATGAGCTGAAAAACAAGAGCCATTACTACAGGTATGGTAAAAAAACACTGCTGCACTCTACAAAATCACTACACAGTTTGCTCCTGATATCAGCATAGTGGGACTTTCATGATGTTAATGTTGTTAGCTCAAAATAATGAGGAAGCTTAGTCCTGTGGGGTTTGGAATTTTGAAAACTGGTACAAGATTTTGCAGACCATGAACATCTTTACATAAAGTACCCTGGACTTCACATTTTCCATAATCATTATACATGATAGTTCTGCCTTTTGATCCAGAATCTCTTCTTAATTATATTGTGGGATTGACATGAAGCAACAAGTTGCATCAGTGCAAATGAAAGTAAACTTCACCTCCTGTGCTTATGTTCTTTAAAAAGGAGGCTACTAGTCATTCACTGGTAAGAAAGTGGATAATCAAACAGCTCATTCATTGCCTTTCAAAATTTTTCACTGTTATTATTGTTGAATTTGTTTCTAATGGTCTTTTATTGTTTTCTGTGACACTAAGGAGACAGAACAACCTTTTGGGATGGGGAGATGCAATTTCATTACTGTTGCCTTTATTTTAACAAAGAAACTATCAAAAGATACAGACTTTTTTCCTAGATATTAAAAGCTCTAAAGGCTGAAAGATAAACTAATTATGAAATAGAAATAAATTGTAGTTCAGCAAAATAGAATATTTAAGATCAATTTGTAGCAAGCACTGTCAAATTCTGTAAAAGGTCTAGGATTCACAAGACTTCTGCTTGCCACCGTATCCATTTTGCTTAATTCTCACATTTGGCTTTGACTGTTTTGAGTGATGCTGTATGAATGAGGGATGTAACTGATCAAAAGATGGACCAAGCAGCATGTCTCACACAGAGCTCACCAGTCCCAGACCAAGAAAGGAAACTTAAAAACTTAAGACTTTAAAACCAACACTGTTCATAACAAAGAACTAACAGCAAAATCTCCATGCAGCAATACCTCCACAACAGAATATAATTATGAAGGTCTCAGCAGCTATTTTAGTGATCAATCCAATCCAATCAAACCAACAGAAATTGAACAAAATAATCTTAAAAACCACTAACCACAAGCCCAAACTAAGAGTGAAGGCAGTGGGAGGTTTTTATACGATACCTAAGTTGACCATTAGTTTGACACGGCCTCCATCCAGCTCCAGACGCAAAGTGTCAGCAGAATCTCGTGAGGTGGTTGCCATCAACAGCCCATAGGCACGCTGGGACATGAAACGGAAGGACACATCTTCTGCCTCAGTATGCATGACCATGGGCATGATGATCTTCATGTACATGCTGCCATCATAGCTCAAGATAGAGGCCTCTGTAAGGAATCAGTAAATAATTTCAAAAAGATGAAAATAAGTTACACTTCTACATGATCTCCAACCCTGAGGAAACCTGACATCTATTACAGAGCACTGTGTTTACAATTGCCACACACTCCAGGAACAGCACATCACTCTGGGTAGAACAGAGCTACTGTTCAGCTGCGTCCGGCAACTCTACACAACAAGTATAAGCAGGAAAAATAAAGATAAGTGTGTTAGCTTTGGGCCCTTTTGAGATAATGAGATAGGACAGACTCCATTTTTTACATCTTCCAGAAAATGCAATCTTCTCCATTAGTTCAGCCTATCCTAGCACTTCCTGGAGTGAACAGTTCAAACACTGCTCCTAGGGCATTCAGTCTTGCCTTAGAAAATGCAGTCTCTATTGCTGGTGCACTTAAAAGTTGTTGCTTATTCAGCGAGGAATTTCATTCCATTGTTGGGACTTTAAAGGAAAAGAGAAACCATATACAGTTATAGTCTGTGGCAACACAGTCCCTCAACAATCAATCTTGCATGCAAACCTTGGACAATGGTAGCATCTAGAAAGCTGCTCATGGCCTAAATAGGCAAATCAGACAAGAGCTATACAAAACAAGCAAGAGAGAATTAAGTCCTGTATTTGTTCCATTGTTTCTGGAAGTGGAATTTCATTTATCAAATTAAGCAAGCCTAGCCGTTAAATATGAATTATCATTAATACAGGACCTATAAAGTTCTCCAGCGGACAGAATTTATTTTAGAGAAGTGGAAAAAAAAAAACATAATTAGAACTAGCACAATGAAAAGGAACATACAACATCTAAAGCAGGAAAGTGAAAATATGTTTCCGAAATTTAAGTTAGACTAAGAAGAGCTTCTACAGATACACTTTATTCAAGAATAATCATAGAATCACAGAATCATAGAATCACAAGGTTGGAAACGACCTGTAAGATCATCTAGTCCAACCGCCTTCTCATTACCATTGCTACCACAAACTAAACCATCTCTTGTAGCTCCTCATCCAGGTGCCTCTGCCGCCACCTCCCTTGGCAGTCCATTCCAATGCCTGACCACTGCCTGAGAGAAAAAGTTCTTCCTCATGTCTAACCTAAACCTCCTCCAGTACAACTTGCGGCCATTTCCCCGGGTCCTGTTCATTGCCTGGGAGAAGAGGCCAAACCCCTCTTCACCACAACCTCCCTTCAGGAAGTTGTAGAGTGCAAAAATGAAACGTTGGTCATAGGAAATGCTATTTAATATTGAGTTCATAAATCCATCCTACTTGTAATCATTTGATCTTTTTTTCAGAGTTCTGTTGTAATCTGGCAGACAAATATCTGCAAGCATGAACAGGTTTCCTAACAGTTTTTCCCACACCAGATTTGTACTGTTTTGAGGGAGCTTTTCCTCCTCCTTACTAACAATCTTTCTGGAACTCTGCTGTCACAACTGGTGGCAGTGCAATGCAAATGATGAAAAGAACAAATCAAAATCCACATCAAGTTTAAGTGTAATTCAAACATTGGAAATGGCAGGAGATCAAGGCAGAACAAAAGGCAGGAGTGTGGGAGGGAAAAAAGGAATGATATTACGTTTTTCTGTCCCCTCCGAAGATATCAAAGAAAATTGAGTCTAGTGGGAAAGGAATTCCAGTACTTAATGCTCTCTATTTGTTCAGGACTTTGCCTGTGAAAACCGAAAGTCTTCTTTGAAGGGGTAAAGTCTTGTGAAAGAAGTGCAGCAACCAGTACGGCATGGCAATCATTGTTTCAGTCTGTGCATATGCTCTAAAGCACTTCTACCAGCAAAATTTACAAATCTGCATAAATATATTAATGTACGAATCAGAGCATCCCTTTTCCCCAGAACCATTTCCTCCCAAAGGCAGATAAGTAGATTACTCCATGTAGGACTTTTACAACAAAGCTATGAATAAAAATCCCAGAAGTAGAAAAAAAAAGACTGATTTAAACTCCCTAGACACATGAAGGGATTACTCTGTAAAGCACTCTTACCGAGATTCTCACCAGCCTCCCTACCTACACAAGAAAAGAAAACACAGTACCAACTGAAACAACAAATATTTGGAATATAGATGTTCTTCTTAGACATCTTCATTTTTCACATCATCAGCTGACCCCCTCATGCTGATGGGACTGGAACTTTTAGAAGAAAACAATAAGCTTATTAGAGCTAACTCTTATAGTCCTCTCAAGGCCTAAATGTTTGGTGCTAGAGTAAGAGAGTAGGACAGGAAAATAAAGAACATGTCAAGTTCTTCCAAGTCCATGCTGGAAAGGATCCACAGTGGCTAGAAATAGGGATGCAGTGTGGTAATAAATATGCAAAATAAGTGGTAAACAATTATATGGTTATGAAACATTTGATGGGGATCACTGTGGTTGGGTGCAGCACTGGCGCAGCAACCCATCATACTAATATACATCATGCAGCACCTTCGCTGGTCATGGGACATACAAGCTCATTAAAAAGAAAACTTCTCTATGAGCACCATTAAAATAATACGGTTGTGAACAACATCTTTATTCACAAGCGTTCTGAGCTGCATTCCCCACACACTGTCATGGTCTGTATGCGCAAAGTGCTTTACATGCAACACCCAATCAGCCATACATACACCTTCTGGGCACCAGCTGTCAGTGTTGCCCAGGAGACTCACATCTTTACTTGGCCAAGAAACAGTCGGAACGAGCTGGAAAGAAAGATTTTTATTTCAAGGTGGGGGGGGTTTCCTACTTTTCAAAGTGCAATTCTATTCCCCCTCATGCCTGCAACTCTTTCTTGCCGCCCACAGCTGCAAGCTGGAACCAAATGTACTGAACATTATACATATACACAAAGTCAATGCATATGTACACACAAACCCCTCCTTGCTCTCTCTCCTCTCTGTGTGGACTGTATTAGAAAATGCAGTCAAGCATGAAATGGCTCTTTTGATGCCTTCAGCTCAGATGTGCCTTGCATGAAAAAGTTGTGTGCCCTCACACCAGAGTAGCTGTGGTAACGGAATTGGAGAGTATCAGGACCACGAGTGGGGGTCGCTGACACAAGTACCTCAGCTTTGCTGCTTTCTTGTTCACAGAGCCATGCCATGGGTACTTTGGAAATATACGTGCTTTTTTTTTTTTTCTGCAGACACTGTAAGACAACAAATCAAAAGACTGGTAATAATGACTTTCTTCCCTTCTAAAACAATGCATTTGTGTGCCCTTCAGGTCCACTGATTCCATTGACAGAAAATTACTGTCCACAGACAAGAAATGTGAACTGTTATTATATTTGTGTAAGACTAATATGAAGAACACCCATAATTGCTGAAGATGGCACAGAAATCTAGAACCTAATGTTTTGAATAGTTTCTGAATTAAAATCTGAACTCAAAAATGTCAGGGGAAAAAAAAAAAAGCCACTGATGCCTAAATTAATCCCAAATTCAAATTCTATAAGCATGGCTTGTACTTGGAATGAATTACACAGTGAGATAAAGCAGGAGGAGCCCCAAGGGAAAAATGTAATGTGGGAGGCAAAAAAAGATCTCACACTGAGCAAAATCTCTCCTTCCCACCTCCTGAACTCCTTGCTTGTTCTTCTAGGTATCCTTTCCTAAACCCTGCCCATAGCATTCTGTGTATGGAATGCAGAGGACCTAAGGGTTCTCAGCATAGTTCCAGTCACCATAATAACAGCCATGTCAGTTTAGAATTAATAGAGACAAACCAGACAGAGGAAAGCTGAAAGTAAATTTCCAATTGGAATCGATAATCAAAATTAATTTAAAAATCAAGACAGTGTTTCAGTTGATATTCAGTAGTACCCTAAATCAGGTATTACTTCAGTTTCAGTTAATGTCTCTTCTCTGATATAAATATAGCACTGCACTGAATCCTTGCACAAGTTATGCAGATAAAATCAAATAGCCTGAAATAGTTGAAACAGCTTCTATGTAACCATGTGAGAAGATGACCTTCTGCCCTTGTGTGTGCCCTCTGCTGACCTGAGCCTGTCCCAGTTCAGAGCACCTAAGCACTTGACATCTTCTAAATGTAAGAAATTTCATTCTCACCTTACAAGTCTTCACCATCTGAAGTATCTGTAAGCTTTTTCAGCACACCTCCTTGCAAGCAGAGCTTTCCCTCTAACTGTAAGAACAGTCCTTCAGAGGGAGGTATTGCTTAGTAGCAATCACAGAAATAAATCATATCTCCTTGTCCAAACAGCAGTCCCCAAAACTCAAGGATGGCACATTATCGCTAAGCAACACATACAGAAAATCTGCTGATGATTGAATGTAACCTGGCAACAACTAGGTGACCTCAGTTCTCCCGTGCTGGCAACTTTTGCCTGAAAACAGGCATCCATTTGATTGTCTTTAGTCAACTGCAGCAAAGGGATTGTAACACTTCTGTACAGCACCATAAATACAAGCAGCAGTTAGTTAATCAAGTTAAAATATAAGCACATCGTTATTCAAGTTAAAATATATGCACATTCCTTCCACCTGTCTACTTTCAGGGTAGCCATTATATTTGGAGCAATGTGCAGCACAAAAGATTTCATCCATGTTGCAGGGACCTGCAGTGTAGACAAAAAGATCTAGAGTTGCATTTACCAGATCTCAAAGCCAGAAGCTTCACCGCTATTCACTTGGAGATGGAAAGAGGAAGAAACCAGGTGCTAGTTCAAAACTGCCCTGACATAATGCCAGAGATCTGTGAAAATCGATATGTTATTAGGAGCAATTAGCTTCCCAGTCTTGTGCTCTGAGACCCTGCCAGCTTTAATTTTGCACTTACCATCCAAAGGAGCAATTTACTGCTGTTTCACCACAAAGCTCTGCATAAACATTCTAGGGAGGTTGCAACAGACATATTCTTGCAATACAGAGATAGAAAAATATTCAATATCTCTTCGTGATCTTTGTCTTGGTTTCTAACCTTTCTCCTGTATTAATCTCCATTCTTTTTGGCTTTCCATCCTTTTCAGCTTT